TTTGGCCTTTTCTTCCAGTAAGTGCTGGTGCTTCACCAAACCACAAACTGTGGGATTCCATAGCATGGAGCCATGGCGGTTAAAGTGGTGCCAGGGTGCACTATTTCTGCAGTTTAGAGAGAGAGAAAAAAACCCGTATCCTAAATTGACTGAAGTGGTAGAGAGGAAAGCAGAGCGTGGTCAAAACTGTGGTACCTTGCTATAATTAGATCTGTTGAACCAGCAGAACATTGAAAACTAAATTGTCATAAAGCGGGGGATGCCTTTAAACCACCTGGTCAGGTAGGTCTTGCCTATGTAAACAAAAACATTTGGAATCTTGAGGGAGCTAGGATGGTATAGTGCAGGCATGGGCAAACTTCAGTCATCCTGGTGTTTTGGACGTCAACTCCCACAACTCCTAGTAGCCTACTGGAGGTGACGTCCAAAACACCTGGACGACCAAAGTTTGCCCATGCCTGGAATAGTGGTGTAAGCATTGGAATACAACTAAAGAGAGCTGGATTTGAATCCCTACTCAGGCATGGAATGATAGTGGGTGGTCTCAGTTTGAAAGGAAGGTAAGAGAAAAATCCTCTGAGCAAACTTTGCCAAGAAAACCTAGTAATAGTGTTGCCTTAAGGTAGCCTTGGGTCTAAAGGACTTGAAGCCACACAACAAGAACAGACCTCTTAAAGATTTTTAAATGCCAGAATATCTACCTTTCCTCCCCCCACCCCCTTTTATTGCATAATATATCTTTGCAGCAATGTGGATGAGAGCAGTTCTCCTTTGAAGGACTGAGTCTAAGTCACTGAATTTTAATATAAAAGGTTAACCTAAATCCTACTGTGTTTGGAAGCCGTTTTGGAAATCCCTGGCAGTTACTTCTGGTTTCTGACTGTCAGATTTAATCAGCTCTGAACTAAAATCTGTGCATTTTAGTTCCAGTAAATCTTTTTTTATGGAATCTAAAGTGTTTGGCTCTTTTCACACAGCTAAATAATTTTTTCCAGCTCAAAGCAAAAAAATAAAAAATAAAAAATCTGCTTTGAACTGGACTATATGGCAGTGTGGACACAGATAATCCAGTACAAATATTGTAGGGTTTGCTGCCTTGATATTCTGGGTTATATGGCTGTGTAGAAGGGCCCTTAGTGTCCTGTCCAACCCATAGTTAGGTATGCCCGAAAGCCTTTGTAATAATAAACTACATTTTTAGAGACTTCATTATCTGAATTTCCAGAAATATTTCAAAGTCATTTAAAAAAACAAACATTTAGCCTCAGATATTTCTATTTTAAGAAATGCCTTCTCCATGAAGTTTGAGATTGTTTGAGGAAATATTTTTGCCCTTTTCTGCATGGTCCATGCAGTTAATACCACTCTGAAGTGTATTCTCAGGTTATTCTCTTAGAGGAGGATTGTGGAAAGCACAATTAATGACCCACTTGCAGTCCCCTCCAAAAAACCCTGTTTTTAATGGGCCAAAATGCATCACATAAAAAAAAACTATGTTAAAATCCCCACTCCACCCTCTCTCCAACAACTTCCCATTTTGTGTTATAGCCTTAATATAGTCTAATTCCGAGAGGGTTCCCTTTAAAGGCTGGCAGTTCAACAGCTTGGGTTAATCAGATGTGGAATATATTTTAAAATAGTTTTAGTCTGTAATTTATTCTGGTTTTTATCACTTCAACACAACATTTTAAATTCTTGTTATCTACTTCAAATTCTAGGGAATAGAAACTGAAACAATTCAGTTAGGAAAGATTAACTAGAAGGGACATTTTTGTGTGTTGTATTTGTGTGGAGAGGTTTTAAAATTCCAGTAGCTGGGTTAGTTTAAACCGATACACAAATGTTCTGCAAGAGGATCATCTTCATGTATCTGTTGTCAGCAGTGTACATTTAAAATGCAACGTGGAATGAAATCTGTTTTTATGGCGTTCATTTTTGTCTGCAGATGCAGGACCATTAGGTTATGATGAGAAAATAACTGTAATCTTTAACTGTTATGGATTATCTGACATTGCAAGGACTGCTGATACCAGTTTTAGGTCAAAATGATTGATAGCTTGGAGAGGACAATTGCTATTTTTGTGCAAATGTTTCATCACCCAAAAAGCACAAGGCCAGTGATTTCCCCCTTTAGGCAAAGTGATTAAAACAAAATAAAAACTTGGCAGAGTTTCTTTCAGGGATCAAATGGGTTGAGATGTGAAGGCAAGAGTTGTGAGTTATAAATACTATATTCCAGACATAATGAAAAAGTAAAAGAATAGGAAGGGAATCAATTCGTATGAAATATGGTGCTGAAGGTGAGTTATTGTTATTATTATTTACTTTATTTATACTCCGCCTTTCTCCCCATGAGGACTCAAGCTGGCTAATACATTTTGGTCATAGTTTTAAAAGCAAAATACAAAAATTGAAAAACAATTAAATAAAACCATGTGGATTAAGATAAAATACAATTAATAGACTTAAAATAGCATTTTAAACTCATAATCCCCCCCCCCTCCGGACACACACTTCCCTGGCCACATGCCCCTTACACTTCCCCAAATGCCTGTAAGCAGAAGAAGGTCTGGACCTGCTTGTAGAGTTCTGTGGATACCATGGATTGCTATGAAGACAAATAAATGTGTCTTAGAACAGACCAAGGGCAAGATGGATGGATGGTATCTTTGAAGTGACTGGCTTGACTTTGAAGGAACTGGGGATGGCCACGGCCGACAGGGAACTCTGTCATGGGCTGGTCCATGAGGTCAGGAAGAGTCGGAAGCAACTGAATGAATAAACAACAACAAAACAAACAAAGCCTGAACTCTCCTTGGAAGCCAAGATGACTCAACTGAGACTGTTGTATCATGACATTTCTTGAAAAGACATGACTCACTAGGAAAGACAGTAATGCTCAGTAGGGTAGAAGTAAGATAAAGACCACATTCGAGGTGGAGAGACTGAAATCAAGGAAACCACAACCCTAAGTCTGCCGAAGCAAAGCAGGACAGTTGACTTGGAACTCCCTTATTCATGAGGTCACCATGTTTGAAGTTGACTTGATGGCAGTCAGCAACAATAAAAGCCAAGGAGCATGGTGTTGAGGCATCAGGGTGGAGATTATTGCCAATCCCAAGAGCCCCTTACCCTTTCATTTCCTTCTTCTGTCACTGTGAGTGAACATAGCCTGAAGTGAGGAGAGGCAACAGCTCATGCTAGTCTCACTCTCTTCCTCTGGGTAGTTGTGTAGATTGGACCTGGAAGATGACAGATACTGACAGCAAGGTTAAGAGAGCACTGTTTGAGGTTTAGAACCAAGATCTACTCTAAAATCATGACTCCAATACTGATAGGTTCCATTATACCAGTGGTTCCAAACTTTTTTTTTTTAACCAGGGACCCCTTTGACCAGGGACCACTCTCCAACATTACTACTAATAGGGTTACGAATCAGTTTTGGTCAACTTTAGATTCAGTTTGGTTATTTGTGATGCTGATTTAGAAAATAGCCGAATTGGATAGTTCACATCCACTCTAGTTTCTGATACAAAACATATGCCATCCAATAGTTGCCAACTGCTCACCCACAGAAAACATGTTTAATAATTTAGGGCTGATGTGATCTGTGCAATGCAATTTTCTACATCAACTCCTCAAACTACCCCAGGAACATGCCTAAAAACAAAGACACCAAGGCACCCCAGCTTTCAGGCACCACATGGAACAGCTCCATTCAGGGAGGGAGGAGGAGGGAGAAGTAACAGTCAGGAGGCTTGTTGTCACACCTTTTGTGGCTAGTCAGCCTCTTCTTAATAATAATAATAATAATAATAATAATAATAATACTTTATTTATACCCCGCTACCATCTCCCCAAGGGACTCGGAGCGGCTTACATGAGGCCAAGCCCAACAACACATCAATACAAACAACAAGCAATAAGCAAATAAATAATACAATTAATATATCTCCATTGCCTTGGTACTATAAGAAGGTTTCGCGAGACCAGTCACTCTTGTTGCAATGATGAAGTAACGGTGAGGCCGTGGACCATATTTTAGTTCCTGGGGACCACTGGTGGTCCACGGACCAGAGGTTGGGAACCACTGCATTATATTAAGGCAGAGGGGGAATCCGTGGCTTCTTGATGAAATTTGTCTTTAAACCCAGCAACCCTATACGTGGCCAGTGGTTGGATGATGGAAGTTTTGTGCTGTAATCAAACATGGGAATATGTAATGGGCTTGTGCTTTTCCTCCATCTCTATCTCTTATGAATGTTTCATGGCTATCTTTAGCCACAGTAATCTGCCTTTATAGTTACCATTTTGATTGTGGATATGCCTTTAGGCTGACCCTTGATTTATGGTGACCCCATCACAGAGTTTTCTTGGCAAGATTTGCTCAGAGAAAGTTTGGTATTGCCTACTTCTTAGGCTGCAATTACTGTAGTTAATGCTAATCAGATTTCCCTATAACTAGGATTTATAAAACTAGTTCAAGCCCCGATTTTGAAGTCTGATCTCAGAGTCAATCATGGTTAGCCTGAAAGCAAATGCAATGTGGCATAACAGTGAGAAGAAGTATAGCACATCCCACTGAATGGAAATATATTCTGAATACTGTCAAGCTGCACATGGAGAAATTTTAATATTTTAAAATTGTACTGGAGTTAAATGCACAATAATGTCAGCGTCCATGGAATGTGGGAGAAAAAAAGAAATCGAGTCACAATCTCTTCCACACATCATAGTCGTTTTGTTGGATATTAGTAAACTTTTAGATTAATTCTGCTATCGCACTCTTGAAAACAGTAAAAGTATTTATGGTATATGAATTTTTGGGAACACGGAGAAAAGTGTGGTAAAACAAAATGGCAATAATTAGAAAACATTGACTTCTTAGATGTTTCAAAGTTTCTCTTGCTTCAAAGGGGAAAAAAGACTTTGTTTAAGCTCAAGTTACAGTGTCTCTGATGTGATAGTGGTAACATTTATTTCTTTTCCCTCTTTTGTAGATGAATGAATTTCGGAACAAAATGCAGTTGATATTCCCAACGATTCCTAAAAATGCAGAACAGCCTTTTGAATGGGAGGACATTCTGAAATCAAAGTGAATGGCACATTGAGGCGCTCTGAACATTTACAAATTCCGGAAGAGTTGAATTCATGCAGAAATGTCGCCCTTCAAGGCACGGGGAAGAAAGAAGATAATTGAATCACAGCAATTCATTCACAATACAGTCTGGCCTTAATTCGGTAGACTATGAGTCCAATTTACTGTTGGATTATTGCTGCTACCTCAAGTGATAGCACATTTCGATAAAGCCAGACATGTGGATGAGGAAATTGTGTGAAGTGAGCTTGATATTCATCAATAAAACCAGAAGACAAATCTCTGTGGTATACATCAACAATAAAATAAACACAAATGGCATTGGTTATGGTGGTAAATTGGCAGGTTGGTATTCATCTGAACTACAAAACGATTGACAGCTGGAGGCAAATGGACTCTTTGACACAACGCAGAACCAAAAATATCAAATGTCAGTCTCTACCCACTGAATCAGCTCTGCCTATTAAAAGCTGGTACATTTAAGAGCTTCTTCCATTGAAACAAAGAAGCAATATGGTGGTTCAAAGTGATACGCTTCATTTCCGACATTGAGACCATTCATTTCTGACACTGAGATCAGCAATCAACAAAGAAGAGATTTATTTCTTCTGATCTTTGACCTGTTGTAAGGGGTGTGTGTGGCACAAGTGATAATTCATCTTGTGAGGCCCCATTTGTAGAGCTCTGAAGCCCCTGTTCTCCCAAGGTGGAGGGAGGGGGTTGGTTAAAAATCATTAAAATGAAATAAAAAGTGCAATGTCCTCTTCAGAATGACAAACCACTGAAGGATGGGACATATAGTTCATTTTCACCTTGGAAAGAAGTGCTTAGAGTGCCAGAGAATTTTGTCATGAGCCTATTGTTGTTCAACATCTTTATACATAATAGAATAGAGAGTATGTTCATCTCTTTTACAGATAACTCTAAAGGGAGAGGGGACTAACACCTTTAAAACAGAATCAAGATTCAAAATGCCTTTAATTAGAATCATAGAGCTGGAAGAGACCACAAGGGCCGTCAAGTCTAACCACCTGCCATGCAGGAAAAGCACAATCAAAACATCCCTGACAGATGGCTATCTAACCTTCAATGAAGAAGCCTTCGCCACATTCTGAGACCATGAGTTCCACTGTTGAATAGCTCTTACAATTAGGAAGTTCTTCCTAATGTTCAGGCGGACTCCTTTTCTATAATTTGGGAACCCATTGCTCTGAGTCCTAGTCTCCTAGGCAGCAGAAAACTGCTCCCTCTTTCTTATGACATGCTTACACATATGTATACATGGTTATCATGTCTCCTCTCAATCTTCTTTTCTGCAGGCTAAACAGACCCAGTTCTTTAAGACGTTTCTCATAGGGCATGGTCTTCAGACCTTTGATCGTTTTAGTTGCCCTCCTCTGGACACCCTCCAGCTTGTCAATATCCCTCTTGAATTGTGTCCAAAATTGGACACAGTATTCTAGGTGAGGTCTGACCAAAGTATAATTGACTGGAACAAAAGTAACAAAATAGATTTTAACAGAGAAATATAAGATAACAGCCAACCCTCCATATTTGCTGAGGTTAGGGGCACAGGACCTATGGTGAACAATTTTAAGTAAGGGATCTGCTAGTTTTTTTTTTTTTTACTGAGACACCTCTGAGGATTTGTAGTTCCTCTAACATGACTATATGGTTGACTTCTGCTGAAAGCCAACTACAGAATCTCACCTAGAGATTCCTAGATAGATGTCTAGGCATTATTATTCTTATTATAATATTTATTTATACCCCACTTTATCTCTCTCGGAGAAAACTTATTCCGACATTACTGAATAGGGTTGATCATAGAGTCACATTAGAGGACCTTGAGATTCCTAGAAAGAGCTTTAATCCAATCTGAATTATCAAATTCGTGAAAGTCAACACTGCAAATATGGAGGAATGACTGTTATGCCGGAAGAACCACATGCACAGGTATAGGATGGATGATGCTTGCCTTAACACCAATATATGAGTTAATATGTTAGTAAATCACAAGCTAAATATGAGTGTGATATAGCTACTTTGTCTACTGTACACTTTATATGTACATAAGATGCCACAAATGAACACCAAGAATTAAGGAGTAGGCCTAAGATCATGGCAGATATAGAGGTGCAGTGCTTTCTGGATTCAAAACAGGGAAAAGTGAAGTCCTAGGATAAGCAAACATTTTGAATAATGAAGAGAAATGACTCTGCTTTATAGCTCCTTAAAGGAATTCAAACTGACCTCTACAGGAAATAATGGAGGAACCCATGTAGTTTTCCCCTGCTAAAAGAAGACTCTTGTCAGTGGAGAAGCCAGAGATATGTTTTCAGTGCCTTCAGGTCACACACTCTACATCTGCTTTAATAGATTGCCCTAGCCCTCAAGAATACATTTAGGCGCTATAGAAGGTGGAAAAATTACTGACAAACATGCTCTTCCCCATTTTATTGACAGAAATCTTCCATCACAAAGATTTTTCTTGATATAGGTTGAAATCTTAACCTTACTCAAGGAGGTAACATTCTGTACATATGTCACCTCCTTGAGTAAGGTTAAAATTTACCTGTATGAGTTGATAACTGGTTTCTATATAAACTCATACAATAAACTCATACCAGAACTTGGAAATGTTACTGTTTTGGGCTTTGGCTTACAAAATTCTCCATTTATTATGCTGACTGGAAGATTCTGGAAGCTGTAGTTTAAACAAGTAACTTTACCTGTCTTGTTTTTTTACTTGTCTGATTAAATCCCACATGTAGACGTATGGATAAATGCCAATTGAGATAGAAATGTGAGTCAACAGCATTATGAACATTTTAAAACTGGTTCTAAAAATAATTTTCAATTTATATCCAGAATCTTGGATTGGCTATTTAGTTAACAACTAAAAAACATCATTAGCTGACCTCTCCAAACTTGAAGGAAACTGGCAGAATGGGTCACATTCCCCTCAGGCAGCTAATGAAATAGGTTTGGGAGGGTGTTACAATGGTGGAAATAGTACCACAATTGTGACTAAGTAGTGAGAAAAGCCCTAAAGGCACCAGATCTTTTCTGATCTTAGAAGCTAAACAGAATCAGTCCTTGCTAGTACTTGGCTGGGAGACCAAAGAATAATACCAAGTGCTGTAGATTGTATTTCAGAGGACAAAATGGCGAAATCACCCCTGAGTATTCCTTGCATAATGCCAACCCATGACATTCATTTGATCACTCTAAGCCAATAGATGACTTGAAGATACATGAATAAACATGCATACAGTGCCCGTGAATATAGAACCATAGAATCAAAGAGTTGGAAGAGACCTCATGGGCCATCCAGTCCAACCCCCTGCCAAGAAGCAGGAATATTGCATTCAAATCACCCCTGACAGATGGCCATCCAGCCTCTGTTTAAAAGCTTCCAAAGAAGGAGCCTCCACCACACTCCGGGGCAGAGAGTTCCACTGCTGAACGGCTCTCACAGTCAGGAAGTTGTTCCTCATGTTCAGAGGAATCTCCTCTCTTATAGTTGGAAGCCATTGTGCCATTGCGTCCTAGTCTCCAAGGAAGCAGAAAACAAGCTTGCTCCCTCCTCCCTGTGGCTTCCGCTCACATATTTATACATGGCTATCATATCTCCTCTCAGCCTTCTCTTCTTCAGGCTAAACATGCCCAGCTCCTTAAGCTGCTCCTCATAGGGCTTGTTCTCCAGATCCTTGATCATTTTAGTTGCCCTCCTCTGGACACATTCCAGCTTGTCAATATCTCCCTTCAATTGTGGTGCCCAGAATTGGACACAGTATTCCAGAATGACGGAATAGAGAGGGAGCATGACTTCCCTAGATCTAGACACTATGCTCCTATTGATGCAGGCCAAAATCCCATTGGCTTTTTTTGCCGCCACATCACACTGTTGGCTCATGTTTAACAGTTGTCCACGAGGACTCCAAGATCTTTTTCACACGTACTGCTCTCAAGCCAGGCACTCCCCCATTCTGTATCTTTGCATTTCGTTTTTCATGCCAAAGTGGAGTATCTTGCATTTGTCACTGTTGAACTTCATTTTGTTAGTTTTGGCCCATCTCTCTAATCTGTCAAGATCGTTTTGAATCCTGCTCCTGTCCTCTGGAGTATTGGCTATCCCTCCCAATTTGGTGTCGTCTGCAAACTTGATGATCATGCCTTCTAGCCCTTCATCTAAGCCATTAATAAAGATGTTGAACAGGACCGGGCCCAATATGAAAGTAATCTAGATTTACTCATCACTACTTAGTCAAATTGTGACCCTACTTTTAAGATTGTAACTCCCTGCAACCTGTACACTCTGCCTGCATTGAGAGAAGAAGATCCATTTTGCCAGCAAATGGAACTAGGTTGGGTTTTTCTGTCAGGGTTTAAGAAGGTTGGGCTAGGACAGATTGCTTAGTTAATTATATTTCAGTAAATATCTGATTTAGGATTCTGTCTGGAATTTTAGCACTTAAGCATTCTCATGATCGAAAGGCAGGATTTGCAGTTTTTGCACACCACTGTTAAATTAGTTAATGGTTTAAGGACAAATTAAATCCTTTATAATAAAGCACCACAGGAATATTTCTTGTGCTGAAAGAGGAATGATAACTTCCATCTTCCACCCTTACTTGTATTAAGTCAAGAAAAATAAGCATACATCTCCTGAAATGTTCCTACATCAAGCAAGTGATCAACTCATCCACTCATGCATCCACCCCTCTTCCCATGCATGTCTCATTTTAAGCAGAGTAGAAAGAGTTATCCTCCTCTCCCTTTGTGCTCTGTCCCAAACCTTCTCACTGTGCATTTTTTTGTGTGTGTCAGGAGTGACTTGAGAAACTGCATGTCACTTCTAGTGTGAGAATTGGCTGTCTGCAAGGACGTTGCCCAGGGGACGCCCGGATGTTTTTGATGTTTTACCATCTTTATGGGAGGCTTCTCTCATGTCCCCGCATGGGGAGCTGGAGCTGACAGGGGGAGCTCATCCGCGCTCTGCCCGGATTTGAACCTGCGACCTGTCGGTCTTCAGTCTTGCTGGCACAAGGTTTAACCCATTGCACCACAGTGGGCTGTTACCAATGAGGAGGGGAGGGAGTGGGAAGACAATTCAGACAACAACAACAACAACAACAACAACAGCACCTTGTCTTGGTTCAGAAGAAATGGGTAGACACCCAGGTAGAGTACGCCCTCCTGTTACTTTGATTTGGAACTTCAGTTTCTGAACTGCCTCCCTAATTTGCTCTGTTCCTCAATTGTAAGCATGAACAGAAACACATACTTTTGGCTTGACAGTGGTGTCTCAGGGGAGG